CGCCCCCCCCCCCCCCCCGCCCCGTCCCCTTCCCTGCCACCCTCCCGCCCCCCAGGCCCTTTCGCCGAGTCTCCTTAGTCCCAGTCCTTCCCCCACCCCATCCCCATCCCCCAGGATCCTGGCGCCCCAACCGCAAGGACTGCGCCTCCGCGAGCCGCGATGTGCGTCCTTTCAGAGCCCGTGGGCTTCCCTGCCCTCACTGCCCTCCGTTTCCTCCACACAGGCCCCCACCTCCTTCAGGATGACGCTGGACGTGGGGCCGGAAGATGAGTTGCCTGACTGGGCCGCAGCCAAGGAGTTTTACCAGAAGTATGACCCTAAGGACGTCATTGGCAGGTGAGGCCACTGCCAGGGAAACGGAGATCCAGAGAGGTCGGGTCCTAGCCAGGATACACAGTTCCATCTGAGAGCTGGATAGTTCTAAATGGGAAGGGTCGGTGGTTAGTGGAGGAACATTGATGACTAGACTCTTATTTTGGGTCATCCCCATTTTTACACAGATTTATTCACTTACGTGTTCAGCAAACATCGTTGAAGCACCTACACGTGTGCCAGACACAAAGCTAAACACGTAGAGGGTAGAAAAGATGTTTATTGCCTTGGAGGTTCTCCAAGTGAAGTGACTAAAAGAAACGCATGAACATTCAAAAAAGTATCGGGCTGTGTAAAAAGTGCTATAGAGGCTCAGAAAATCATAGCTTCCCAGAAGAGGTGGTATTTGAGTCTTGAAGGATGAGTAAGAAGTTCAGCATAGGGAGAATAGAAGGAATGCCTCAGCTGTCCAGGCAGTGGCAGATACATTTACTCATCAAAGGTACAGTGTGCTGGGTGCACTGTGCTAGGCACCGGGGGTACAAGACCCACAAGGTTTCTGTTTTCCTGAAGTTTGTATTTTAGTGGTAGAAACAGACAGTAAACATGTAAACAAGGTAAAGCTCAACACAAGTGCTAGGGAGAAAATAGGTGATGGAACAAGAGTAATTAATGGAACTGAGACTTGAAGGATGAGAATGAACAGGTCAGGAACTGAGGAAGGATATATTAGGGGCAGAGGGAACAGCAAGAGCAAAGGCGTAAGGCAGGAAACGACCTATTCCAGCCATAGCTAGAGGATCATAGTGGCTTGAATGTGTAAGGGTGGGAAGAGGTGGAGGAAATGAAGTTGGAGATGTAAATAGAGGTTAGAGCATGTAGAGGCTTAGGCCATGATAAGGAATTTAAGTTGTATTCTAGTGAAACTGGTGGTCTTAAACAGGGTAGTAACATGATCTGATTTACATTTCTGATTTGTGGGCTAGGAACTTAACCTTTCTGTGCATCAGTTTCTCCATTGTAAATTGGGAATAAAAATAGATCCTACCTTGTAGGTTGCTGTGAGAATGGAAAGAGTTAATATGATTCTCTTAGAACACTTCCTGGCACATGGTAAGTGCTCAATACGGGTGTGTTACTACATTTAAAAAAAGATCATTCGACTCTTGTGTAAAGAATGGATTTTGAGAGGGGCAAGAATGGAAGCATAGAGGCCTAATTCATTCAGGTTAGAGATGTTGATGGTTTAGAGTGGTGGTGGTAGAGAGAGAGAGAACTGGATCGATTTAGATGATAGTTTGAAGGGAGACTTGATACAGTTTCCTGAAGGTTTGGATATGGACCATGAGGGAAAGGAAGGAAAACAAGATTAAGTTCTGATGTTTGGATTTGAGTGCTTGAGTAGCCTTTACTGAAATGAAGAAGACTGAGGGAGGATCAGGTTGGGGATGGGGGGCGCGGGGCAGGCAGCAAGCAAGTCAAGAATTCCATTTTGGAGATGTTAAGTTTGAGGTACCCAACTGGAGCTGTCAAGTGGGTATAAAAGTCTGGAACTCAAGGGAGAGAGCTGGGCTAGAGCTATAAATTTGAGCAGCAGTGGCATATAGATAGTTAGGGAGAGAATATAGACAGAGAAGTGAAGGGGGCCTAGACTCAGGCCCTGGGGCATGTCACCATTAAGGTGTTAGAGAAGGAAGAGACAGCCATGGAGACTAAGGAGCTGCCATCTGTGAATTAGAAAGAAAAACACAAGAAGAATGTGCTTCTGGAAGGTTGGCACGGTCTGCTGCGACAAATCTGCTAAGGCTGGGAAAGCAGTCAGGGGTGTGACCATTAGATTTGTTCAGACTCCTTTTAGATATCACATGGAGATGTCAAAAAGGCAGTTGGAATCAGGAATTCTGGAGAGAAAGCAACACCTGAGACAGTGTAACAGGAGTCATTTGCACATAGTTGGCATTTACAACCCCTGGGCCTGGATGGAGGTCACAGGGAGAGAGAGTATTGGGAAGTGGAGAGAGCTGAGATCCAAGTCCTGAGATGCTGTGGGATTTCGGGACTAGATAAGGGCTCACCAGGGACCCTAAGAACCCTTACGGAAGAACAGTGGTTCCACTGCCGAGGGCCACAGAAAGGCCAGTTTTGGAGAAGGCAGATCAGAGGGTAGGGTCCTTATCTCATTCTGTGATTACTGTGGTAGCATCTTCCCTTGTCTCGCTCGTCTGTCTTTTTCCTGCACAGTACATTACCTGCACGCTCCCACTAAATTATTTTTCCCAGAGTACCAGTTTCTTGTGTCAAGGCCTGAAGCTTTAAAGATTTTTTTTTTTAATTTTTCCTTTTTCTCCTCAAAGACCCCCGGTACACACTTGCATATTTTTAGTCGTGGGTCCTTCCAGTTGTGGCATGTGGGATGCCACCTCAGCATGGCTTGATGAGCAGTGCCATGTCCACGCCCAGGATTCGAACCGGGGAAACCCTGGGCCATGAAGCAGAGCACACGAACTTAACCACTCACCCACAGGGCTGGCCCCTAGGCCTGAAGCTTTAAAAGAGCTTGGCACATTCTGGAATTTGGTGATAAGTTGTGTGTCACTGAAACAAAAATTGAATAGCAGGGTTATAGCCAGAGATGAGGCTGAAAAAAGACCATTTGGTGAAGGCCTTGAATGATAGGTGAAGAAATTGAGATTTGATTTTTATCCTGTAGGTAATAGGGATGCAGTATGGAAAGAAAACAAAAATTTTGAGTGCATTCCAGTTAACTGTAAGGTTGAAAGTATTAGGTGTCATTTAAAAGTAGACATTTGCTCTAGGGGACCTACTGAGGAATGAGGGAGCACTTAGAACTTAGTAGAGAATTTAAGCTGGAAGTTTTTAAGCAGTGAATGACATGATGGGCACTGTTTTAAGAAGCTAATTCTAGAAGCAGTGTATTGGATGGGTTGCAGTGACTGAGATTGGCAGCAGGGAGATCAGTGAGGAGGCTATTGTGGTTGTGGGAGTGGAGTAGTAGGAAACACATTTGAGAGGTATGAAGAATGGACTGGACTGGTAGGATGTGGTGGATTGTGAAGGAGAGGGAGAAACCAAAAATGGTACCAAGGTTTCTAGTTTGGGAGTCTGATTGAGTGGCATTGCCATTAATTGAGGTTGAGAATATAGATTGCGGAGCTAGTTTCAGGGGAAGAAGAGATGTTCAGTGGTTATGATGAATGTGAGATGTCTTTAGGAACCTCAGGAAATGATTTTCAGTAAGACATGTTGGCCGGACACTTAAGAGAGACATCTGAGCATGAAGTTTGAAGTTATGGAGGTGGATAAGATTACTGAGGGAGAGTGTATATAGCCTGAGAACAGGGCCAAAGGTGGAATCCTGGGGAAGTCTTAACATTTAAGGGGTGGTCAGAGAACAATGTACTGGGGTGTATCAGTAGAAAGAATTTGGACTTTGAGTCCAAAGACCTGGGTTTCCCACATAGATAGTCATGATACATAGTAGGAAGGCTTAACTGAGAGTGAATGCTCTTACAGGTAAAATGCTGTGGGACGCCAGAGAAGGGAGTGGCCCCTTCCTACTGGAGAATAAACAAAGAACTGGTGGAGGTAGCATTTACTTTGGGCCTTAAAGCAAGAATTCTTTGCTGGATGGCTTCAAAGGGTCTTTGAACCCCCTGAAATTGTAAAATGTTGTATGCATGTGGCAGAGGTCTCCTGCTTGCAACAGATTCTCAGGTTTGTTAAAAGATGAGTAATAATTAGACCAGGGGCCTCAAACTGAAATGCCCTTAGTGGTTGGGCAGGAAATTAAAATTGAGAAGTGGCCAAAAGTAGGACAGTAGGAAGTGGTGAGTATCGTGGCAGTTGGAGGGTTCAGATTTGTAAAGAACAATGCACTGACCAAAATGTAACACATCTGTGGGCTGTGTTTGGCCAGAGGGTCAATAGTTTGCATCCCTTGATTGAACCAGAGATGTGGGCTACAGGCATTCCAGAGGGCAAAGAGGCCTCAAGGGCACAGCAGTAAGGTTATGTGAAAGGCAGCCAGGAAACCAGCCTACAAAATGTTGTGTGAAGCCAGATCCGGAAGAGATTTGCACCTTAGCTTGACCTTACTTGTAGGGTCATATAGAGTTGGTGACAGAGTCCAAGCAAGGAAATCCCTGTCTAGGCCTTTCTCTTTATGATGCCAAGTGGGCTTTCCCATGTTTACTTCATTAATGTCTTTCAACATCCCTTCAGGATTTTTTTGGCCACATTTCAGAGCTGGCAAAGTGGAAGCCCAGAGACCTTATGTCAGTGGGTCACTTGGAGGTTAATTAGTGGCAAATTTGGCGACTATATCAAGGTCTCCTAATTCTCAACTTTGGTCTTTCAGCCAACGGCTCAGTATTTATTTGGAGCCTTCTACACTTGAGGTATTGTAAGAGAATTTGGGAATTTGGGTGGGGTAATTAGGAAAGCGTGAGTAAATATGCAGAGAGCCTTAGATCACTTCTGCCCACATTCTCCTTGTGGGGTTCCAGGGCAAGGAACAGGTTCTGGGACTCAATGTGGAAAAGACTTGGCTAGGCTTATCTATGGAGGAGGTGGCAGAAACTGGATTTGAATCCTGACCCCTCCCTGCCTTCCCTGTGAGCTTTGTGTTGCACCTTGCTAGATACCCAGGTTGCTTGCTGAGGTTACTGTGAAGCTACTGTAGGCCAGGGTAAGCTCCTTGGAAGGTTGCCTCATTGTCCAGATGGGCCTGGCACAGTGGGTATAAGGATCCTGAGGCTCCACTCTGCATAGAAATGAGAGAGCAGGAGGCCCTGACTCATGTGTTTTCTAACTCTGGCAGAGGAGTGAGCTCTGTGGTCCGCCGTTGTGTTCATCGAGCTACTGGCCATGAGTTTGCAGTGAAGATCATGGAGGTGACAGCTGAGCGACTGAGTCCTGAGCAGCTGGAGGAGGTGCGAGAAGCCACGCGGCGAGAGACGCACATCCTTCGTCAGGTCGCCGGCCACCCCCACATCAGTGAGGCTGCATTCCCTGCTCCTTTTAGCTGACAGCCACCTCCTGCTGGCCCTGCCCACAGCCCATTTCCCCCAACACTGCCTCTGCGACTCTGCTCCCTTCCTCCTGGCTCTGCTCCACCTCAAAGTGTGGTCAGCCTTTGGTAGGAGGCAGTAACTTACCGCCTCCTTTGGTTTTCCTTCCTTCCCAGTAACAGCCCACTGCTGTCTTAGGGTGGAAAGCCCCTTTAATATGCATCTGCTCTTTTCCATCTCTGACTTTCTGCCTCTTTCCCCAGTCACTCTCATCGATTCCTATGAGTCTTCTAGCTTCATGTTCCTGGTGTTTGACCTGTGAGTATCACCCTGCCCCGATCTGAGAAGACTCCTGCTCACCTCCCTGCATGGCCCCAGCCTTACACCACAGTGGGCTGAAGACCACCTTGCTCACACCTTCCTCTGCTCCAGCTAGGGCCTGCCTGCTAGCCCATGGCTCTGACCCCTCTCACTAGGTGCCCTGATTGAGACAAGTTCTTCAAGAGTAATAGTGACCAGCCAAATACAAAGGGTTTTCGTGACCCAAGGGGTCATTGTCCCAGTTCCCTATGGTTATAAGTTTAACAGGGAAGAAAAGGCTGTTTAAGAGGGAGTGTTCATCCACAAGCTGACCACTTATAACAGATTTTCACTCACCAGTCTCCCATTGTTGAACACCCTATACATGGGTGTCTGTCTCTGCCCATCAATTTTTTTTCTGGTCAGTCTGAACCTGAATGCCATATGTTATACAATAGAATACAAACCAGTTGCAAAGGAACTTCAAAGGAGAATGGGTCAAATACTGAATATTTAAGAGAGGTCCTTGGAAAAAATTCACAAAGTGAATACAGAAATGACCCTCTGCAAAAGTCAGAGAGGAGGGAGGGAGTGTCTGTTACACCATCACACAACTTTGCAGAACAATCATACTCCCTAAAACAACGTGTTATTTCAAGGATTGACTCAGAGTTGCAATCATAACCTCACTTTTTAAAGGCAAGATAAAATAAGCAAAATTCAAAATAAAGTCCTATGCAACTTTTTTGGCCACTATTAACTGCGAAATTTTGGCCCATAGTCTAAGTAGATTCACTTAAAAAGGGCTTTTTTGAGTAGTTATTCTCAGAAAACAAGGACCTCCTGTAAGAAGGCACTTATTCTTGCTAAACTAGCCCCCCTCATGGTACAATGCAGATATTTCAACTACTGAGCCAATCCACTGGGCAAAACTGCCTCTGGCATCCAGTTCACTCTTGGAGTGCTCTGTCTTGAGACCCTTTAGTTTGTCTACAGAGGAATCTCTCTTTACTGGCCTCTTCCATGGTATTTTCTGTGAGCACTGGCTTATTTTCTCAGCCCCTACTGTGAGGTGCACCTACCTCCCAACCCCTCCTATCCCTTAGGATGCGGAAGGGAGAGCTGTTTGACTATCTCACAGAGAAGGTGGCCCTCTCAGAAAAGGAAACCAGGTAATGGCTGAGCCTGCAGCCCTGGGGTGAGTAGGGAGTGGGGCTGGGCAGGGAGAAGCAGAGAAGACTGCGCCTTCCCCAGGTCCATCATGAGGTCTCTGCTGGAAGCAGTGCGCTTTCTCCATGCCAACAACATTGTGCACCGAGACCTGAAGCCTGAGAATATTCTCCTAGATGACAATATGCAGATCCGACTTTCAGATTTTGGGTTCTCCTGCCACTTGGAACCTGGCGAGAAGCTTCGAGGTGAGGGGACTTGGTGCCCTAAGAGGCTTGGGAGGGAAGGAGACACAGGCCTGAGGCTGGTTGGCTCTGTCTGAGAACTGAGTCCCAGGTACCATGGAAAGGGGAGAAGTCAGTGAGCACTTGCCAAGTACCCTCTGGGTACAAAGCCTTGTGTGCAATTTAGAGTAGGCTTCCTGACCTGGAGAGGATGGCGACAGACAAACAAGCAGTTAGTGGCACACAGCAGGCAAAGAGCCATGCTGGGGAAGCCAGGAGAAAGGAGCGAGCACCTGATTTAACCAGGGGAATCCACAGAGGAGGGGGCTCCAGGGCCTTGGGAATTGGGCTTGTCCCAGGAGGAAAAAGAGGGAGTGGGGGGGATAGCAGGGCTCAGCTGCATGTTTGGGGTCTGGCAGAGAGAGGACCACAGAAAGGACTTACGTGCTATGAGGAGCCTGATGTGGCTAGACAGCACTTCTCACCTGGTGTCCTGGGACTCAGGCTCACCCAATGTTAATACCTTTGTCATGGCAGAAATATTTCTAGTGCAAATTGAAAACTAAACAAAGTTCAACTGTCGGACTCCTCAGAGCCTTTAATATGCTACTTTGTATTTACTAATAGCTAACATTTACTAGGCACTTACTATGAGCTAGCCATCACACTGAGTCTTTACATGGCTTATTTCTCTCAGATCCTTTCAACAGCTCTTTGAGATAGATAGTATTTCTGTGTCCATTTTATAGATGGGCTTAAAGAGGTGGGGTGACTTGCCCAAGGTCATGTAGCTGGGCATTCTGACTCCAGAACTCATGCTCTCAACCTGTGGACTTACACATCTTGTGGATGCTGTGTTTTGTTTCCCTTTGGGCTTCCACATACACTTTTCCCCATTCTGGAATCATCTTTGCCTCTGCCCACTCCACCCTTTCCCATGGCTTAGGTAATTCAAGTTTCACTTTAAAGCTCCAAGTCACATTAGATCCCCTGCTTTTTGTTATTTACTCCCTTTATGACACGTGTCTTACTCTATTTAATTTCTCGTTTGCTTTCTGGTAGACAAGTGAGCTTGGTAAGGGCACATCTAATTCACCACTGTGTCTAGTACACAGTAGGCATTCAATAAATAACTTGCTGTAGGAATGAATTTCCCAAGAGTCATTTTCAATTCAGGCATGTTAAGATCGCCTGGGGAAGTGTGCCATGGAACACAGTTGTTTGGGAACTGCTGGGATGGAAGAATCGGTGCCTGAAGTGGCAGAAGAAACTAAAAATAGAGGCTTGGATCAAGTCATGGAGGGCTCTGTGCTGTAGGAATCTAGACTTGATCCTGAGGCCACAATCGGGAGCCAGGAAATGGTTTTAAACAAGGGACTTAGTATGTGCTTTAAGAAATCCCATATTCCCACTCATTCCTCTTGGTTTGAGTGGCGGTTCCACTGACCAGAGTAGAGATTATAGGAGGAGGAATAGATTTTGGGCAGAAAGGAATGCAGAAAAGATTTATGTTTTTGTCTTCCATGTGAGTTATGTATGTGAAAATGTTGTAACAAGTTGTGTGAGGAGTGGGTAGGTTGGCTTGGCTGGAGGGTTGGAGAAGGCAAATGATAATAGTTGGGTAGGCTCTTGAAGTCAATCCAAAAATCAGGTTTCCCCAGGAAGGCCACCAGGAGCCTTGGTGGGTATTTGAGTTGTTCAGCAGGGCTAGGGGCTGGTACTGAGACTCAGCCAAGGGCAGGAAGGAGCAGAAGGGGAACCCTTGTGGCCCTGGCAGTGTTGAGGCTCTAGCAGGGGTCTGGTGTTAAGGGTCCTCAAGGGGGCTGGTGGCATCCCATCAATCTCAGCCCTCTCTCCCCAGAGTTGTGTGGGACCCCAGGGTATCTAGCACCAGAGATCCTTAAATGCTCCATGGATGAAACTCACCCAGGCTACGGCAAGGAGGTCGACCTGTGAGTTTCTGGTCTCCCCATGCCCTCCTCCTTTGTGTGCTGTCCTTCAATGCATTTGCCCATTTCCTAGTCCTGCCTGACTCTGGTCTCTTTCCCAGCTGGGCCTGTGGGGTGATCTTGTTCACACTCCTGGCGGGCTCACCACCATTCTGGCACCGACGCCAGATCCTGATGTTACGCATGATCATGGAGGGCCAGTACCAGTTTAGTTCACCCGAGTGGGACGACCGTTCAGACACCGTCAAAGACCTGGTGAGCTGGGGCCATGAGCAGACAAGGAGGGAGGCCCAAGGGCTGCCCCTCACAATCTGGGGTTTGCCCTAGATCTCGAGGCTGCTGCAGGTGGATCCTGAGGAGCGTCTGACAGCTGAGCAAGCCCTCCAGCACCCCTTCTTTGAGCGTTGTGAAGGCAGCCAACCCTGGAACCTCACCCCCCGCCAGCGGTTCCGGGTAAGCCTGACAGCATCAGGGTCTGGGCCCGCTCCTCTGTTTCATGATCTTTTTCCTGTAGTGGATGCTCCACTGGAGCTCATACTGCCCCCCTTCCCAGGTGGCAGTGTGGACAGTGCTGGCTGCTGGACGAGTGGCCTTAAGCACCCAGCGTGTACGGCTGCTGACCAAAAGTGCACTGTTGAGGGACCCTTACGCACTGCGGCCAGTGCGGCGTCTCATTGACAGCTGTGCCTTCCGGCTCTATGGGCACTGGGTGAAGAAGGGTGAGCAGCAGAACCGAGCAGCCCTCTTCCAGCACCAGCCGCCTGGGTCTTTTCCCATCATGGGCCCTGAAGAGGAGGGGGACTCCGCTACTATCACCGAGGATGAGGCCACGCTCATGCTGGGCTAGCATCTCAGCCCTGGAGGATCCCAGAAAGCAAGACTCTGCAGGAGCAGGATTTTTATCATTCTAGTCTCTCTAGGCTCTGGCCTCAGGCCCCCCTCCCCAGCCAGGCCCATCATTGATCATACTACCATATGGACCAGTCCTGTACACCTCCCCCCGCTGGCCAGGGCTTTTCAGTCAGAGTTGAGGTGGAAAGGAGCCACTCAGAATGCCACGCCTGGCCTTGTCAGGGCTGCCTGTGCTGTATATGCAATAAAATCTGCTACATGCCAGGGAGAGCCAATGCCCTGTGTCTGGTGTCTGGCTTCAGCAGGGAATCCCAGAAGGTGCTCAGGATGGGTGGGGTGGGGATGGGGCCACTCTGGCCCAGGCCTTTATTGGGGAAAACACTGGGGATCACTTGGTCTTGTTCTTGCCTTTGCTTGCAGGTAGCTGGAAAGGCTGCTCCAGTGTGGTCAGCTTGCTGCTGAGCCTTTCCTCGCTGGCCTTGAGCCGTTCCTCCACCAGCTTTTGGAGCTGTCCCAACTCCTTGTTCAGCTGGGTTTTGATGTAGGCTCGGAGGGCGGAGACCTGGCCTGCAGGGGCAGGGAAGAAGGGACAGGTCAGGAGAGGTGCTGGACCTGAGGGATTGTCCCTAACTGGGCAAACATAACCGTCAAGGTGCCCTTGGGGGCTACACAGGTGGCAATGTTGCTTCAATTCAGGAAATGTCTGCCAGCCCTTCTTTGAGAAGAGGGGTGGGCTGGAATTTCTAGATTGCTACTTAGTAGCTGTGGGACCTTAGGCAGGTGATTTAACCTTTCCGTGCCTCAGTGTCCTCCTGTGTAAAATGTAGATAATGATAGCATCTAGCACCTAGGATTGAAGGAAGATTAAATGTAACCCATTAAATGGGTTAGTATGTAACCATTTAACCATGTAAAATGCTTAAAGCAGGGCCTGGCAATAGTATTGCTAAGTATGTGCTGGTTATTATTGTCATCGCTTTTATAATCATCCTTTTCTGGAACTCCTGCCTCACCCCAGTGGCTGTGCTTTTATGTTTGTCATCTTGGACTTCTGCATAAGTAATCATGTGGAGAAAGGACACCATGACTAAAACAAAAAGTGTGAAGTCTCGATGTGGTCTAAACCCTTCATTTTACACCTGCCCAAAGTCACAGGGGACCCTAACCCCTTCAGGTCCTCACTTGGCTCTTCCTGGAACACTGTTTTGGGTTCTTCCTCCTGTGGGGTGACTGCCTGCTCCTCCACTTCCTCACCACCTTCTTTCTCTGCAAGCCAGAAGCAGGAAGAGGCTTTGGCCTTGGCCCCGGCCCCGGCCCCAGCCCCAGCCCCAGCCTTCTCCCTTACCCATCTCATCCTCTGGCTGGAGCTTGGGTGGCTCTAGCCCCAAGTAAGTCAAAGATAGATCCAGCCGTACCTGGGAAGAGGAAGAGGGGGACTGAGAGGAGGGCATCTGCACTGAGGGAAAGGGGAAGATGTGGGGTAGCCTTTTGTAGCCCATGGCCCAGTACCTGGGGTGTAAAGACATATTTGTAGAGCTTGAAGTGGCGAAAGTAGGTGTTGACAACATAATCTACCAGGGCCAGCAGCTGTTCCTCCTTAAAGAGGTCGATACTGAAGGGAGGCCGCTGTGGGAATGATTGGGAGTTAGAGGACTGACCGCCTCCTGAAGCCCTGGCCTTTTCTCTGAGTGCCCGGCAATCCAGGAGCAGGGAGAGCCCACTGTGGCCTTCAGAGGAAGATGACGGTGATGAGTGTAAGAGAGGGCAGGAGATTGGGCTAGACTTTGGGGGAGAGTGAAGTTCCTGTTCCAGGGGAACTGACCCTGACTCCATGGCAGAAAAGAACACTGGTAAAGTAGCGGTAACATTCCTCCACGTTGCCCAAGGGGGTTGCTGGGAGGGGAAGCAAGATGTGACAGTGAGTCCCCTCCTTGATAATCAGTCATTCACTTCACTCACTCAACAGCTACTTATTGAGCATGAGCCTTAGAAGTGGACACACCTAGATTTAAGTCCTGGCTCAATTTGTTAATTCACTTGAAAAATATTGAGTACCCATTATGTACTGTTCTAGGCACTGAACAAGACAGACATGGTCCTGCCCTTATGAAGCTTATATTTTAGTGGAAATGACATACAATAAACCAACAGTACGTAATTTCAGCTCTTGTTAAACATTCTGAAGATCAGTTCCGAGAAGAAAGCGGGGAACTATTTTATTGAGCGCTGTGCGTATGTTTACCTATATTACATATTTCTCAGAATAGTCTCATAAAGTTAGTGCTGTATTCTTATTTTATAGATAAGTAAATGGAGGATTTCAAAGGAGAAATAACTTGTGTGTGATAATAGTGCTAGTAATGACAGAACAAAGATTCCCGGTGGTAATCTCTCTACTTCTGCTTCCCATGGTCACTTGTGCCATCCCAGCCTGCTCTCCCCTGGGCTTAAATCCTCTGGTAGCCGCCTTGTCTCACCAATACAGGCCTTGTGAAGATCTTGGAGCAGGGCACAAGCTGTTGATGTCTGCTCCAGTGAGAAGCCCTGCTGGCGGCAGAAAATAAGTGCATGGGAGAAGAGGTCCAGGGTGATGGCATCCCGCAGGCTCTGCTCAGGAGCCCCTAGCCCCAATAATTGGGCCAGCACACTTGAGGAGGAGAGAGGGAGGGAGTGAGTGACAACAGGAGCCTCACTTCAGCACCTCACACTAGTGCACCACATGCTTTGGAGCCAAACATTCCTCATGCCTTCCCACCCACACTCAGCCTTCCCATGAGCTCTCCCCCCGCCCATACTCCCTCATCTCCTCAACATTGGCCGTCTTCTCCAGCCTGTTCATGGAATGGATGTCCAGGTACTTCCTATCACAGGAAAAGAGGAAAAAAGGTGTTGGTGGTCATTATACATTAGTCTTATGACCAAGCATTGGGCTGGGAACCAGGAGACCTGAGTTTGAGGTTTGGCCCTTCCGCTAACTTGCTGTGTAACCTTAGGCAATTGTGCCACTTCCCTCTCTGGGTCTCACTTTCTCCATCTTTAAATAAGGGGTATGACCTAAATGAACTCATGATCCTCTTCATTTATTAAGCTTAGGGTTAGGAAAATTTTCTTGTCTCTGCCTTGCCACTCCCTTACTGTATGACCTTGGGCAAGTTCCCCCTGTGGGCCTCAGTGTCTGTAGTTGTACAATGCTCCATAGTGGCTATGATATTCCATTTACATCCTCAGTCTTTGGCTCCCTTCTTCCCACACTCCCTCTTTGGAGTGGGGAGGCAGGAGAGCTGGCTTCTAGTCCCTTGGCTAATTGCATCTCTCTGCCTTGGTCTTATCTGTAAAATGGGGATGCCCTGGCTGTCTGACAGGACTGTTGGGGAGGCACTAAAGGAATAATGCAAGTGTGAAGTGTAACTTTCCCCCAGAGTTCTTCACACTCACCACATGCAGATCCGGGGTTGGGGCAGCGGCGGCTGTGGAGAGAAAGCTGATTGGGGAAGGCAGAGCTTTGTTGTCCCTGGCCCCTAGTCCATGGCCCGTCGCGAATCTCCAGCGGCCCTGAGAACGTGCTAACTTGCCTTCTCATCTTAAGGACCATGTATGAGCAAGACTGGCGGGCCGGGCTTCAGCAGGACCTATGTACTACTCATGAACATATTGACAATCGGGGTCACACACCCCTGCCTCTTCACGAAGGCAGCCAGGAAAACGTCTCGAACGTTAGTAAACATAACGACTGGTGACGCCCTGAGGGGAGCCCTTTTACAAACATTCATGAGCGGACCACTCTGTCCCGTCCTCACCGGGAACAAGTTGGCTGCAGGATCATGATCCGCTTCCAGCGAGGCCGCAGTCCCTGACTCGGTCCGCACAATTGTTCCCATCCGCGTAGCCGATTCATCCACTGAGCTGAGGTCCTTGTCGGGTTCCCGCCGCACTTCGGAGGGCTCTTCCAGCTCCGACTGCATTCTGAGTCCCAGGAATTGGCTGGACTTCTGGCGGATCATCTCGTCGCTCCTCCCGCGATCCCGCCTCCGTTCTCATACAGCCGGTTCTAGAGCAGCGACTGCCGGGGCCTGGCCCTGTAGCGACGCTTCAGCCAATCTACGCTGCAGGGAGGCCGAGGACAAGCCAATCCGCGAGAGGCGTCTTTCCCGTCTCAACGGTGACCGTTGCTAAGGAAGCTCTTGGAGGAAGGTTGAAAGTATAAGGCCCTAGCCAATCAGTGAAAAGAGTGAGCATGCGTAATAAGTTGCAAGCCCCGCTCTGCTGCCCTTTCTTCAAAGTGGCTAATAGGAGGCAGACGATGCCGTCAGGGCTAGGGAGTGGAAATGTAGTATCAGTTACCATGGGAACTGTTTACGGGCCAATCACCGAGAGATAGAGGAGGTGTTCCGGAACAAACCAAACGGGACGCGACAGGCGGGACAAAGCGCGACCAATAGAAACCGGAAATGGAGAAGTTTCGCCACTTCCGGCACTGCCTCTGGCGCCTGCGCTCTTTGTTGGGGAAGCCGGTGACGTCCGGTGAAGTCCAAGATGGCGGGGCGAGGCTGATCCTTCTGCAGGTGAGGCCCCAGAGAGGGGGCGGTGGGTTAACGGGGGCGGGATCCAGCATTTGTGTGCGGGGCAGTCTCGGGGCTGCAGAGCACCAGCTGCTTCCACATCTCAGCGCTCTGTTTTCTGCATGTGACAGAAGTGCCGCCTCTGCCTGCCTGACGTCCCTCGGGAGACCCTGAGCCGCTCTTCGCCGCCGCGGCCATGTCTGGGCCGGGCAACAAACGCGCCGCCGGTGACGGGGGCTCGGGGCCCCCAGAGAAGAAGCTGAGCCGTGAGGAGAAGACCACAACCACGCTTATAGAGCCCATTCGTCTTGGGGGCATCTCTTCCACGGTTCGTGGGCTCCTGCCCCAGGCGTCACAACTTGCCAGAGTCCCAATTTCTGTTCTCCGCCCAAGTAGTCCAGAAACTTACTCCCAGTCTTCCAAGCTTAGCAGGGTCCCCTTTACAGAACACTCTGTTGAAGGAAACCAAGGACACGATGTCTGCCTTCCCTTTACAGATAGGAAAACAGGTTCCCCGAGGGCGTGTGACTTGTCAAAGACTTCAGAGTTAGAAAGAGGCAGAAGCAGAACGTGACCCTTCTCACAACCAAGACGCTTTCTCTGTGGGTGTCTGAGCCTCTTTAAATCCTGTTAGCAGTCTGGGGATACTCCCCGCTCCCATCCATTCCATTTGCTTTTCTCTGTCTCTCTGTGGTTGGCTTCTTGGGCCCTACTCGATCCTCTCATTGGCTTTGTTTCCTTGGTAGGAGGAGATGGACCTGAAGGTGCTGCAGTTCAAGAACAAGAAACTAGCAGAGCGATTGGAACAGCGACAGGCTTGTGAAGATGAACTCCGAGAACGAATTGAGAAGCTGGAGAAGCGGCAGGCCACAGATGATGCCACCCTCCTCATTGTCAATCGCTACTGGGCCCAGGTGGATGCCCTTCTGCTTTCCAAGACCTGGCCTTATCCAGCTGCCAATCCTCAGACTCCATTGTTGGGAAAGGAGTGTCATGCTGGGAAGCACCTGAGGGATTCATAACATTTTTGGTGCTTTCTCCCTTCAGTTGGATGAAACTGTGGAAGCCCTTCTCCGACACCATGAGAGCCAGGGGGAGCTGTCTTCAGGGACAGAGGCACCTGGGACCCAGGAGGGGCCAACACGTGATGAGACCCCTCTCACAGAGCCAGGGACGTCGGAGCTGAGGGGTAGGGCCAGAGCCCTAGGGTCTGGGGAGCTTAATTAAGTTCTGGGAAAGGTCCTGGAGAGGAGGGGACTTTGATATTAGGCTCCTGAATTCCCCACCTCCCCGCTCACACGCACACAATTGATTTCCTGTTTGGGTGGCAAAGTGCAGTAGGTAAGAACACAGGCTTTGGAATCTGAGTGACTTGGTTCATAGTGCAGTTCATGATTTGGCACTTAGTTCAAAAAAATACTGTTATTGAGTGTTGACCATGTATTTTGCACTATTCTAGACTTGGAGGAGACAAAAATAAGCAACAAGAAATACTACTATTGCCATCAGGGAGGAAGTAATTATAAGCCTTACGTTAAAAGTACAGGGGCCCCGGGGGCTGGCCTGGTGGCTCAGCAGTTAAGTGTGCATGTTCCACTTTGGCGGCCCGGGGTTCACCAGTTCGGATCCCGGGTGCGGACGTGGCACTGCTCGGCAAGCCATGCTGTGGTAGGCATCCCACATATAAAGTAGAGGAAGATGGGCACGATGTTAGCTCAGGGCCAGTCTTCCTCAGCAAAAAGAGGAGGATTGGCAGCAGATGTTAGCTCAGGGCTAATCTTCCTCAAAAAAAAAAAAGTATAGGGGCCCCTAAATGGGAATTAGTGTGTGTGCACATGTGTGTGTTTCTCATTTGGATTGGAAAGGCAGAGAAGGCTTCCCTGAGGAAGTGATTTGGGAGTTCTCTGGCCTTGAGGAAATTGCTTTACCTCCCTGAACCTCAGTTGTTTCACTTTCAAGATGGGGATAACTGTACTAAAGGCGTTGGTTGTGTGATTCAGTGAGCCATAGGGTGTTAAAGGACTCGGCCTGGAACTTGTTACAGAGTGGTGGTAACTGCTGCTTTTCTCCTTATGAGAGTCTGTCCATCCCTCCCAGAGCCTCTGCTAATGCAGCTGCGGCCCCCTCTCAGTGAGCCAGCCTTGGCTTTTGTGGTGGCACTGGGTGCCAGCAGTAGTGAGGAGGTGGAGCTGCAGCTGCAGGGCCGTATGGAGTTCTCCAAAGCAGCCGTGTCCCGTGTCGTAGAGGCCTCAGACTGCCTACAGCGCCGGGTGGAGGAACTCTGTCAGCGAGCATACAGCCGAGGTTAGTTCTTTGTGCCCCTACCCTAGAGGTGTCCATCCCCATTTGCAGTTTTATGATATCCCGTCTTCAATGCCCCTAGCCCAAAAGCAGCCAGAATTCCCTAAAGACTAAATCAGCATGTTCTCAGGGGAAGGGTCAGGTTGTAGATAGGGGCTCTGGCTTTGAATGCTGGAGTTGATCTCTAGGATATGGCTTGGAGGAGCTGGTGCTGGTGGGGCCACTGTTTTCTGGCTAGAAACCTCTGGAGCACTTTACACAAATCTTGGTGGCAGTTGCTGATCACAAGGGATAGCAGCAAGTGTGCACCCTTTGCACTCAGACAGCTTCTCCCAGCCTTAGTTCTGTCACTCTGGCCTGGGCATTCTGAGCAGATGGCTCTCCTCTCTGAGCTGGTTTCCTCCTTTGTACAGTGGGGATAAAGACTCCTGGCTTTGTCATGAGAAATTGGCAAGACAGCTGGTGGATCACACTGGGCACATAGCAGACTCCAGAATGAGTTAGTACTTTGCCCCATTGCCCTGGACTTCGCTCTTAACTGAGCCCTGACTTCTCAGGGGACAGTGAGCCCCCCGGTGAGGTGGCTCGGGCACGCACCCGGGAACTGGGCCGTGAGAACCGGCGGCTACAGGACTTGGCCACCCAGCTACAGGAGAAGCACCATCGCATCTCTTTGGAGGTGGGAGTTGGGCTTTTGGAGATGGGATTAGAACCAGGGCAGGATTTGGGTTAGATGGTACCCGAGGATCTCAAGGAGCCAAGTCCCCTCATCTAAGCGTCTGCCCCCTTCATTGTTCCCAGTACTCTGAGCTCCAGGATAAAGTAACATCAGCAGAGACCAAGGTGCTGGAGATGGAGACAACAGTAGAGGACCTGCAGTGGGACATTGAGAAGCTGCGCAAGCGTGAGCAAAAGCTCAATAAACACCTGGCAGAGGCTTTGGAGCAGGTGGGACTCTGGTGCTAGGTCAGCCGGAGACAGGGCTGGTACCTGGGGTCCTTACTTCTCCACTCCACTCCCACCTGTCTGTCTCTCTTCTCTCCACAGCTCAACTCTGGCTACTATGTGTCTGGGAGCTCCTCTGGCTTCCAGGGGGGCCAGATCACACTCAGCATGCAGAAGGTGAGTCGGCTTCATTCTTCCTAATCCCTCCCATAACCTTTAGTCTATCCCACCCTTGAAATTTCCCTTAGAATTAAGGACAGACATTCAACTATAGTCTCTGATGTCCTTCCCTGTCTTTCACACTGCTCTTTGTTTCATGCAGTCATGTTATTCAGTAAGTAATTGCTGATCACTAAGTGCTAGGCACTGTGCCGGGAAGCAGGTGTGTTAGAGAAAAAAATAGACAAAAATCAAAGCATTCATAGAACTTAGGTTCTAGTTGGGGGAACTGACAAGAAGTAAGTATATCAGTTGGTTGTAAGTACCACAAAGAAAACGCATAGAAAATAGATAAATGGAAGTATGTTGGAGTTCATTGGCATTCTCAGCGGGGTGGCTAAGGAACGGCCTTGCTGAGAAGGTACGGTTAATCACTCTCATGCCTCCTCCTGCCTTTGCCCTCTCACCTGTTGATCATTGCACATTTTCTTGGTGCTGTGGAGGTCACTGTGCCCTGTTTCCCTTTACTTCAGCTTGCTCTTCAGGGCTTCCAGGAATGCTGCCCTAACTCCCTGTCAGTTACAAGCCTTGATTCCCAGCACTGACTATGCAGTGTTGAATTTTCTCCCACTTCCCTGGGAGCCATTAGCAGAGTGGTTGGGTCTGGCTTGTCCCTGGGGCTTCAGAATCCATCATTGCCCTGTCTAGGGGATCTTGGTGGGGATGTGAGGGAACCGGACCTCCTGCTTTGGCCCTGCCTCTTATAGCCCTTCTCAATCCACAGTTTGAGATGCTGAATGCAGAGTTGGAGGAAAACCAGGAATTGGCCAACAGCCGCATGGCAGAGCTAGAGAAGCTACAGGCCGAACTTCAGGGGGCTGTGCGGACCAATGAACGCCTCAAGGTGGGCTGTGTTTGGGGTTGGGAGGGCCTGAGCCTGCAAGGGAGGGACTGAGCCCTGAGTCCTCTTCCTGATCACTTTTGGGCATCCCTGCCCCTAGGTGGCCTTGCGGAGCCTTCCTGAGGAGGTGGTACGTGAGACAGGGGAGTACCGAATGCTGCAGGCCCAATTCTCACTGCTCTACAACGAGTCTCTGCAAGTGAAGACCCAGCTGGACGAGGCCCGGGGGCTGCTGCTGGCCACCAAGAACTCCCACCTGAGACATATTGAGCACATGGAGGTATGGCCATGGAACATGGGTAAGGGCCAGACCCTTAGGGTCAAGGAATTTCTGGGTCAAGGGTATCAGAGGCTCTGTGTGCCTGCCAGGGGTCCCTAGGAAATAAATTCTTCCTAAGCCACTGAGGCTTGAG